ATAGCTCATCACGTAAATAGTATAATTAAATAAATCATAATCAACTCAGTTCCGATTGCATTCAGTTCACGCATGTATGATTGTATAGGCACAATAAAACAACCATATTGATTAAGTATAGTTTAATTAAATCCTTGAATGTCAAAAGTATACATAGTAAAATTGTACTTAGGACTAAAGGGTAAACTAATCATTCCTTTGATCTATGTATTGAATAAAAGTTAAAATAACGAATTTAGAAAATCCCCGACAGAAAACATCCTTAAAAAGTAAAAAAAAAAAAAATATTTTGATCCACGCGTCGGTCGGCGCGTTGGAGGACCGCTTATGATTAACAGCTATCCGTTACACACATTTTCGTTTGTTGTGTTTTATATTATTTTAGTACCTAGTGGTTTTTCTACGCGCCGACTCTTGGATCTAAATATTATTTTTAATTTTTTATAGATATCTTACAGTCGGGTGTTTTTGCATTTATATTTTCAGGTCTTTAAACTTCTAATTGATCAACCAATATTTTTCGGCGGATACATGAAATTGCAACGTCTGCATATTCTGTTGCCACCATAGACATATCCTCTATCTACGGTTGCCACAGACAATCACACAGATACTCCCTGAACTTGTAACAACCTTTTTTTGTCGGTGTTTAAAAAAAATACGAATTTCATTATTTGTTCAACTGTTAAATTGGCTACTATTGACCTTTAAATAAAACTAATGTATTACAAAAATTTCTGACCCTATCGGTTTTTTCTGAGAACTTTTTAATAGCATAGTGTATTCGAACGTTGAGATATTTCAAACTTATAGCCTTAATTAATGACAGTCGAGGAACGTTTCGCTGTTAAAATGTGATACGTTAAAAAATAATGTTCAACCCAAACATAATTTAAGACGTTCCTGCATGAGCACCACAAGAATATTATTTTTATTAGGACCTCCATTTTTACGAAATATTGTCTCACAAATTTTTATAACATCTTTTGAAGGGTAATATAAACCACCTTTGTCTTTTTGTAACTGGTGTATTTAGTATCAGATAAAATAGAAAACACACATTCCTCGCACTGCAGCTCTTTTTTCAGTTTGCTTACATCAAATCCAGCAATGTATACTATTATATGTTTTAGAAAATTCGCTAAAAAATTTTTTTTTATAAGATAAGGGTGACAAACGAGCACACAGTCCACCTGATGGTAAGTGGTTGCTGCGGCCCATAGACATCTATATCTATCCTCGTTTGTGAATCAAAATGCAGATGCGTTGTCACCCGTGAGGACTAAGATAGAATGCCTCATTTCCAGTAAAAAGGGCCTCCGGCCACCTGCACTCACCAAGCGTAACGCAGAGGTAAACCTCTACTTCACGTTGGTATTCTGTGAGGTCGTGGTACCACCCCGGTTCGAGCCGGCCCATCCGTGCGACAGCAAAAGCCGCCGCGTGGCTCTACCACTGTTAAAAATTGTTTGATCAGTTAAGTAATCGTGATCCTTCATTAAATTTTCATTAAAATATTCTGAATTACTACTTTCGGTGCATCATCAGTCTATTTTTTTCTGATGTTTTGTTAATTGCTATTTCTGGTTTAGTCACTGATCAAATATTTATATGTTCTAACGGTATACAATTTCCTGAAGTTATGTGTTTCATTTCACCAAGAACTAACATTTTTTTTAAATGCTGACTTCAATTGTCTTGCAGAGGGGCTGTTGTTAAACCCTCATTTGGCTTTAATGGCACTAAAAAAATACTCCAAGTGATCTTCAATTAGTTTGTAAGTGCTTTTAGGAAGCCCAAAAATCCAGCTTTTCTATTGGATGACATTTAATTGCTGTCTCCTAATTTTAATTTGTTTAAGTATAAAATAATTTCATTTAAAAATGGTTTTATGTACGAGAAATTTATAATAGTGGTTTTTTGTACGTATATGCTTTTAGATTGCTAGAATTACATCAAATAGATTATAAATTTTACGAATAAAATCAACAGTACCAACATAGTTCTTAAAATCGTTCAGATTGAGTTCGTTATTACAAAATTCAATAGCGTTTTCAACAGATTCACTCATTACTTGAGCTGTTAACTTGACCTTCATGATTTTTTTGTAAAAAGTGATGTGTGATTTGTTTAATTTGTTACCTAAATGCAATCCTTCGTTGTCTTGGAGTTCTAACAGTAATTGTACGTATTCCCATGACACAACACGACCTTGTGGATCTGTTATAGGCCGTTTTTCTCCTAATGTATTCCTATTTAACTTCAGCATGTGTGAAGGGTCTGGAAATATTACTATATTATTATTTCCGACGATGAAAGTAGGATTAATATCATTACCATCTACTTTACAGCCATCCATCGAAAGTTAACGAAATGATGTCAACGCCACAATCCTGGTTTAATATTTCTATACAATTTCTTACTAAACTGGCCGTATGTTCAGCATTTATCCCGTCGATTAAAAATAACCTAAACGCATTTTCCAGGATCCGTTTGTACATGTCAGCATAAAATTAACACATCTTTTGCTAATAGGTCGTTTTGAACATTATTGCCGAAATTAACGTATCCTATGCAATCTTTGCTCTCAAAATCCACACCTTTTCTAATTGCCATTTCATCAAAACTTAGGGCGCATATTGTCATATGTAACACGTTTTTTTTTTTTAATAATTTCATGTAAAAAATTCACAGCTTTTACAGATTGTGTGGAAAAACCAGGATTTCCATCAATACATTGATACCATCGCAACAGCGTACACGGATGAGGTAAACAAGTGTTAAATTGTTTCCTAACAAAGGTGTAAGCTTTGGGACTGATTTAGTGGAGACTTAAAGCAAATTTCCGTAGTTCAAGCTAGTACTTCCGTTCAACGTTCATTTTACATAGAAACTTTTTTAGGAAATCTCGATTGGTTGTATCGATCGCTGACAGCAAGTCAGCCGTTTCTTGGTTGATTAAAGATCGAGTTTTTAATTGCTCAGTTACACTAGATTGTTCAGCAACTTTTTTTTGCAAACGCCAGGTCTTTGATATTAAAGTGTCTTCCTCCTATTATCGCTTAATAACGTCTTCTTTTCCAATCTCCTAATTAACTTTTTTTTACGTGGAGTTATTCATTTATTGCAATTATTTGCGCCAACTTCCGGTGCTGCCATAGGTATATCTTGTGTCTGAAATATAATAAAGGATATTACTGTGTTTATAATAAACTAGCTGTTGCCTACGGTTTCGTTCGTTTTTTTGGATAAAAAGCCTATAGCACTCAGGCATATTTTAGCTTCCTATTTGTGAAAGAATTATTGATTAAGTTGTGATAAGTAATTTCAGAGATTAGCGCGTTCAATCAAATAAACTCTTCAGCTTTATAATATTAGTATAGTATAAATATTTGTACTATAGGCATAAAGTTAAAGTTACAGCTTATATACGTCCCACTGCGGGCACAGGCCTCCTCAATGTTTTATTCACGGTAAGTAGTAAATACTTACCGTAAATTTTAAATACATATAAAAAATATCTATACTGCTTTAAAGATAAAAATGTTTAATTATGTATATAAACGGTTACACGCACATCATCTACAAGAACCAATTTCCATAAAATAGACTGATCAAGAATAAACTTACCATAGTACTTTCTATTTCAATTTCCATAGCAACTTTTTCTGACGATAAAGGTAGGTTAGTGGGACCATGAATATCTATCATATATGAATCGTCACGCTGAAAAATATGATTATTATTTTTAATTTCTAACATTTATCACCTAAATAAATAAGTACATATTATAACATAAAATACTGAATATAAAATAATAGGTACCAAATAATTCTTTGCTTCCATATCAACCCCCAAAGTTCGCAGTTAGAGGAACACGGTTGATCTAAAGCCGGTCTGGTCTGAAATTAAAAAAAAAGGACATGAGCTTGCGATAACTGCTAATATGATCAATAATTAATAATTTTGTTAATGAATTAGTAGAGCCTGTGCGGAAATAGAACCTTTTCATGGGTTAGCAATACTAATAGCGCGGGAGTTCAATGTATTTCAATTCAACATTTATTTCAATTTAATATTCAAAATACAAACCATAAGAAGCGTAGTTATATGTATGGTTCTATTGATAATAAAACGGTAAATTGTTATTTCACTTGTTATCTGCAATGTTTCAATGTAGAACATGTAGAACAAATTAAATAACATATTTACTTTACCTGGATGAAAAGAGTGGGTATCGCACGTGGATTTAAGAGTGTACGATTTAATGTCTGTCGAAAGCAACTTTCCTCCAGCAAATGTCGTGAGCAAATAAGGGAGTGACGACTTGGATGCCAGTTAACTCGGCCCGTACAGTCAATTCACTTATTTCTTGAAAATGGATCATTTGGAAAACAAAAAAAAAAGAAATTAAATACTTTTATAGGTAATAATAATCAAATGCTGGTATCCTCGTCACGCTATTATCTAATTATTGACATATGACATGAAGTGACATAGATATGAACCTAACATAAAGTGCTTCACACTTTGGTCGGTTAATATAAAAAACAAGTCAGGATTTTATCGTCTTTTTGCGTGAAATTTGCAACAAAATTTGCTTGTTTTCGACTTAGAATAGTCTTGAATACAATAATCCTTTGATTTACTTGCTGTAATAGATAAAAGTGTAGTGTGAAGTGTGTGAAGCATCAACATATTGTGAAGGATAATAATTATACATTGTAACTTCAGGGCCGTAGGAGTAATAGTGTTCTGTGCTTCTGGCTCAGAAAAGCTAGAACCCAGAGCTGTAAAGCTAGCTGCTAGTTATTAAAAAAATTGTAATTATTCTGAGATTTTTAACCACGTATATTTTATAATTGTAATGTAATTTCTATTAGTATTATTAAATTTGTGCTGGGCCTATTGTTTTATAATATCATTGCATTTTAAATTAAACAGTTTAATATAAATTATCTTAGTAGATGAAGTGTAATTAATTAATAACCTCAATAAAAATGGCTACAGCATACGGAATTCATGTAGGTAATAGTTCTGGTTGTTTGGCTGCATTTGCAAATGGTACACCTACAGTTATAGCTAACGATGCAGGAGATAGGGTGACACCAGCCATTGTTGCACTGAACGGTTCAGAATGGGAAATCGGATTGCCGGCAAAATCAGGGCAGCCCTCATCTAAAGCCATTATAAAACACAATAAGCGTCTTATGAATTGTGATTTTACAGAAGATGACCTTTTATATGTAGAAGCCTCATCTTCATGTCGTATACAAAACGAAGAAAACTTAGTTTATGAATTTGAAACTAGTGAAACCACTCTCTATTCCAGTCCTGACAAAATTGCAACAAAAATGTACGCAAAACTTTTCACTATTGCTAGTCATTCTGTTGGAAATGATGGTGACTTAAAGTTAGTTTTAGCAGCACCATTGCATTGGTCAAGTACTAGTCGTGAAAGACTTGTCAAATGTGCTGAATTAGCAGGATTTGATGTTCTGCAGGTTATTAGTGAACCTGCAGCTGCACTGCTGGCATATAATATTGAAGATACAACTGAGGACATAAATGTATTAGTGTACAGATTGGGAGGATCCACTTGTGATGCTTCAATAGTTAAAGTATCAGGAGGATTTATGACTGTAGAGAAAAATATATTCCGTTCAGATTTAGGTGGACAGTGTTTGACTAAAGACCTTGCAGAATACATTGCACAGGAATTTAGGCAAAAATGGAAGTTGGATCCACATGAAAGTCGCAGAGCTATGGCTAAATTATTACACCATGCTGACAATTGCAAACATGTCTTATCTACTCTAAACTCAGCACATGTGTTCATTGAATCCCTCCTAGATGGTGTAGATTGGAGCCAGAATGTAACAAGAGCAAGATTTGAAAACATCATTTCTTCGAAAATACCAGCATATATTGAACCAGCACAAAAAGCAGTGGAAAGTTTTGAAGGAAAGATATCTAAAATCGTCCTCTGTGGTGGAAGTATGAAAATACCAAAATTACAGTCTGCAATTGCTAATTTGTTGCCAGAAGCTGAAGTTTTATCAGGAATTAGTCCTGATGAAGTTATTGCTGTTGGTTGTGCTCGTGAAGCAGGTTTATTACTTGACATGCCTGAATCTAGTTTTACTGATATTAATACTGAAATAGAGTTTTTAGGAAAAGATATTTATATGAAATACTTAGATCAAACATTTAAATTGTTTAAACAAGGAACTCCACCATTTTCCCAAAATATTTGTACTGTAGAAACTGACCAAGATGTTAAGGATATAAGCTTCACTTTGCATGAAAACCCTAACAGTGAAGAATTTGCTGTAGAGTCCTTCAATGTAGAGAATTTAAGCAAACCATTTACTCTAAAAGCTACATTACAGAACTCAAGAATTTCTTTACAACTTGAGGAACAAAAATGTTAAAACATTAAATTCATCCATTGTGATATTTTTTAAAATATAATTTGTTTAAATAGTATGTTTTGTCTTATTTTTAAGCTTTTTTTTACAAATATTGTGGTTCTTTGTTATCTAAATAGATCATTATAACAGTCTTTCTAAGTATACTACTGAACATAGGCCTTCCCCATAAAGTGCCTCATAGTGGGGATATTTGCCACAGTTGCCACACTTATTTTGAGTTATTATCGGGAAGATGCTGCTGCCTATCTCCTGTTTCAGTTTCTGCCTGTTGCCTCTTATAACACCCAAGGAATGATACACTGCCCTAGAACCAACTTCTGAAGTTATTATGTAGAAATTATTATTTGTTACTTTTAAAATTGGTTAATGCTTTTTAAACTGAAATAAGCACAATAAACTAAAACGAAAAAATAATAAAAATATGGCAGTTTATAGAGAAAACTGTAATTTGTTTCAGCCACAGAACTGTTTTCTAATGTTAGGGCATTCGCTCCTCTTGGTGTCAAAACTTCCTGCATTCTTGTAGCTTTAGATTTTATTCTTCTAACAATGCAGCTTCAAGTTCACAAGACTCGTAGTCGTTATGGACTTATAGAGAAGTGATTGTAACTTGGTGCACAATATATTAAGGCCACAGAGCTCATCTAGTGGTATGACATAGAAGTCCTTGATCTTTGTATTTTCTATTTTTTTATTATAATTAGCACACTATTCTCGAATATTCATAAATCCCTGGTCACCCTACTTGGCCGTACAACGACCTTTTTCACGAAAGTTATAATTTTTAATTTCTCTGTTATTATGGAACCATTTCCATGGGGGTTTCACCCTTCGGATTCTAAAAAATTCTACTTACTCTAGACATATTAAAAATTGTAAGATAATAGACTTGGTATTGTATGTTTAAGTGTAATGTTTGAAACTTTTAGATTGAGGCAAGGGTGGCGACCTTTTTTTTAAACAAATATAGTATTTTTCCCAAAAAAGATGCAAAAATGTAGTACTTTTGAGAAACTCCGGAAAAAAGTGTACATTTATTTTAATTAATATGTATTTTGCCATAAACACCTACCTATATCTGTTATTGCGCTTCGATTTGGCCATCAATGATCTAAATAATTATAGGAATCTGAGCAATTTAGATTTATAGTAAAATATATGAATAATTCATTTATTTCTTTTTTTTTTTTGCTTATTTGTTTTTGGAAGGCATGCTAAAAACATCATCACTTTCCATGTTTTTAACAGCAACATAGATAAATAAATATGTAGCAAGCTAAGCAGCAAAAAATAAAAAGATAAAAAAATCAGGCGGCATTCATCGTCAAATTATTGACAGTTTCAGTTTGACAGTTGACGTTTTTGACGCGCCGCGAATGCGTTTAGTTCATAGATATTATGGAGACTATGGAGTGTAGAGTAGAAGGAGAACCATCTTATAAGATGCGAAAGTTGAAAAAGTGTCCCAATATATACTGAAAATAGAGGTTCCAAAACCTACCACAATAGCGCTGGCGTCTGAAAAACTACGATATGAATATAGCTGTTCTAGACTGAGTGAAGTCAGCTGAATTAAAATATTTAAAAAATTTCATGACTAGAGTAGTTAGTAAAATGCCAGTAAACAAAACCTCAACTATTTACGTAGTACAAAACCAAGCGAATTGGTCGGTCCTTGTTTATTTCTCCATCTTATTCTAATAAATTTTGGCGCTTTTTTTTAATTTATCCTATGCTACTGCAGCGCCACCCTTATTGGACGCGTTTTTAGGGACACTTTTCATATACAGAGATGGTCCTCCTTCTACTCTACACTCCATAATAGATATAAGAAAAATAGGGGATATGGCATGTGGTCACGTGATCTGAAGTCAAGTGTTTCTCAAATATGGCGACGACTCCACCCACAAGAAATAGCGTTGTTTTTGTCGATATTTTTAGTATCGATGCTATATAAATTATGACGTATTGTCCATCTCATAGGTATATATTAAATAAACAAATATTAGATCACTACACTGGGTTATTGCATTGGGTTAATCCTGTAATAATAGTTGTATTGAGATGATAAATAAATAAATCTTACGTTCAACTCAGGATAGGAAAGTTTTGAAACTGTAATTGCTTTAAGATATGGTGAAGCAATAGTCAAAAGTGAGCGAAGAGACCAAGGAAAGAGCACTTGATTGGAGCTTTAACTCCTTTCTTTTCAGAACACGTATACGACGGGCACCAGAATATTATACTGAGTTCGTTAAAAGAGTTAACGTTTTTTCGTAACGACGGCAATCTGCACATAAACACTCAATCCGTGCGTCCCAATCGTCGTGTCGACGCATACATTTTTTTTCTCCTCTGCAGAGATTAACGAAACCGCCACTATAGGCAATGTATTAGGCTTCGTATGATTTTTTTGTCCAGCCCATGCTGTCCCACTACTAGGCAGAAGTTTCCCCTAAGTTTTTCCCAGTGGTTTTGTCCTGCACCACATCGAACCAGCCCCAACGGTATGCGACCGTTGGTTGTACTGTAGGAAAAGCAAATGGATCCAAAATAGCATAGTTTTATAAGTTAAAAGTATATAAAATTAAAGCAATGGACAACTGCATTAAAATTGTATAAAGTAAATATGATAATATAATAGGTAGTTTATATAATAGTTAGTATATTAAAAAAATAAGATTGTAACCGTGAATAATAATAAAAAGGAAAATAATAATATAACAACAAGTTTATATAGTAATTATTATATGTATAAAATTAGGTATAACGGTAAATAACTGTAAAAAAAAGGGTGTTTGTAACAGAATTTAACGCAAACAGTAGCTTAAAGTCGTGATAAGAGTAAATATGTATAAATTAAAAAAAATATACCATAATTACACATCCAACAAAAAAAAAGAGAAAATGAAAAGGGAATATAACAAAAAAAAAAAAGAATAATGTATGGCACAGGAAAATAATAATAAAAGGGATTTTGTGAAAATAAGTTTGTAATATTAATAAGAAAAGTTACTATTTATTTTTATTTTTTTATTTAATGATACATAAAACATATTACAATAGTGCATAGTTACTATACAGCACCATTAAACCGCAAAACGGTTTGTATTGGTGCTTGTAGACGTCTATACGCATAAATATATTATTTTTAATAACTACCATCGTATAATTGATAAAGTTAAGTATGATAACAACTAACAACCTATTCATTGTATTAGTGACATTACGACATTATAGTGAAACAAGTAAAATGTATCTTAGTAAGCATTCGAAATAGTATAACAAATTTTGAAAGAAGCATGCTTATAGTAATCTTTGTAAAGTAGCAATAAAACAGAAAAGAGAAATATATATATAAACAAAAACAAAAAAAAAAACAGTATGCGTCCAGGTTGCGTGAATTATATCATATATATAACTTTATCGCGGCTGGGAAGTTAGTTGCGAGCGCAAGTCCTGTACCTTCACGCTTCGCTTTACGTACTGTGATCTGAGACACCATCAAGTTTTCTTTCAACTATATCTGCACGGACTAGGCGCTCGCTCTTAACTTCCAAGCCGTCATGAAGATTCGACAACACTTCTTTCGTGGTAATGGTCGCAACACCAGAGGAATTGCAGATGCATTGCCGGCCTTTTAAAAAGGAGTAGGCTCTTTTCTTGAAGGTCCCTAAGTCGTATCGAACCGGAAAAATCGCTAGTGGTAATCGATTCCACAAGGAAGTTGTGCGAGGAAGAAAACATCTAAATCGCACAGTGGTGGACCGCCAATCATCCAGGTGGTATGGATGGTTTTGTCGCGATGTGCGATGGTGAAATTATGCGGCTGGGATTAGTCCGAACAATTCCTCAGAGCACTCCCCGTGGTAAATGCGATAAAATACGCAAAGAGACGCAACATCTCTACGCAGTGCCAGTGTATCGAGCCGATCAGAACGAACTCGGTCATCGACGATTCGAACCGCTCTGCGCTGGATGCGGTCAAGTGGAAGGAGCTGGCACTGGGGTGCCCCGGCCCAGATGAGAACAGTATTCCATGTGAGGCCGGATTTGGGCTTTGTAAAGTCGCAAGCGATGTGCCGGCATGAAATACTGTCTCGCTCTGCTGAGCACGCCAAGCTTTTTAGAGACCAGTTTGGCCTTCCCTTCCAAGTGACCACAAAACTGCACACTATTCGATATGTCGACGCCGAGGATTCCGATGCTAGCTGAGGCAGCAAGGGGAGTGCCTTCAAACTGAGGAGATACGACAAAGGGGTTCTTTTTAGCGGTAAACGCGCAAACTTGTGTCTTCTGGGGATTGAACTGGACTAGATTTAGTCGCCCCCAATCCGAGACTTTGTTCAGCAAAGACGACTTCAGACACAAGTTTGTCCCGGTACTCTGCGACGTTTTCCCGAGAATTATTGGCACGGCCGGTATATAAAGCATCACCAGTGCTGTCGTCTGCATAGCAATGAATGTTACTAGTTTGCAACATATCAGTGATATGCAGAAGAAACAGCGAAAGCTGTCAGCAAAAGCTGTCGCGTGGCTCTACCCCTGTTAAAAATATAATAAATATTTTTGTATAGGATTTAGCCATGTTTTACTTCATTTTACAGTATCTTGCGGGATATTTGCCGAGATCCTTCCTCTCCCCCATATAAAATTGGGCGAGATTTGGCGCGAACATTCATAATATTCATCCCTCCCCCCCTTCTCTCCTCCCATAACACGGGCGCGCCATTAATAACGTGAGGTGTTTTATTTTACATTAATGAGGGCTAATGATTTTCCACTCACCAGATGTCGCTAGTTGACACTGAGTTAAAGGTTTTTGTTACATATTGCCATTTAATTGAGAAGTAAGTTTTAAATAGAAGTTTATCAGTTTATAGAGTTTTAATTTAAATCTCTCAGTGAAATGCTCTTTAAGTTTTTGCAAATTTTTAAATCTTTTTTTAAATAATATAAAATCTATTAAATTTAACTAATTTTTGCGGATACGTGTTTAATTTATCTTTTTAATTCCCGACGTTTGTTTAGGGATCTTATCGTACTTGGCTTGTCAGATATATTTATACCTAGTCAGGTCATAAGTATTGTCACACAGTAAAAACTTTTCTTTTAGAATGCTGGCCACAAAAAAGTTTATTGAATTCGAATTTCTAATTGTTCATGAAAATAAAAATGTATACTTTTTAGAATTTTACTCATTTTTAAATATGGAGTGGACGCTTAAAGAAGACCGTGTTGCAGTTATTGCGTTGCATTGTTGCGGTTACGCGCAAATTCAAATTTTTGACATACTGAAAAATTTGAATATAACCAAAAAATTCGTTTATCGTACCATCAAACGATACAATGAAGACTCTAGTGTAGATGACAGGTCAAGAAGTGGTCGCCCTCGGTCTGTTAGGACTCCAGCAGTGATAAAAGCTGTGAAGGCGCGAATTCAAAGAAATCCCAAACGTAAGCAGAAACTATTGGCCCTTCAGATGGGGTTAAGCAGAACCACGGTAAAAAGGGTGTTAAATGAAGATTTAGGGCTTCGGGCATATCGAAGAAAAACAGGATATCGTTTGAATGCTCATCTAATGGACCTGAGACTGAAAAGATGCCGCGCTTTGTTGAAGCGGTACGCGGGAAAAAAATATCGGGAAATTCTTTTTTCGGATGAAAAAATTTTTACCATAGAAGAGAGCTACAACAAACAAAATGATAAGGTGTACGCACACAGTAGTGAAGAAGCGAGCAACCGTATTCCGCGTATCCAACGAGGTCATTTTCTATCCTCGGTCATGGTATGGTTGGGAGTTTCTCATTAGGGCTTAACAGAGGTACATTTTTGTGAGAAAGGTGTAAAAACGAATGCAGTTGTGTATCAAAATACAGTCCTGACGAACCTTGTGGAACCTGTTTCTCATACCATGTTCAATAACAGGCACTGGGTATTCCAACAAGATTCGGCGCCAGCTCATAGAGCGAAGAGCACACAAGACTGGCTGGCGGCGCGTGAAATCGACTTCATCCGGCACGAAGACTGGCCCTCCTCCAGTCCAGATTTGAATCCGTTAGATTACAAGATATGGCAACACTTGGAGGAAAAGGCTTGATTAAGGCAGCCGCCGATATTGACATGGACCTCGTTCGTGCTGCGATAGACGACTGGCCGCGTAGATTGAAGGCCTGTATTCAAAATCACGGAGATCATTTTGAATAAACTTTAGTGTCATAAGAATCTATGTTTTGTTAAGTTCATTTTGGTATATAAATGGTTACATAATGAATAAACTTGTTTCAATTATTTTATATTAAACATGTGACAGAATTTATGACCTGACTTTACAGTGCTTTACACTGTTACGGGGGTATAATTTGCTATTACTTGACACTGGCCAAAATACAACCATACGAGTCCATTACCAAAGAAAGAAAAAATATTTACTTATTAAAAAGTATATAAATTTTTTGTAGTATTAGTATACATAATATAATATTATTTTCGTGACAAAAACACTAAAAGAACATAAGCTAACATGGATGAATTTAAATTAAATAATAATATGCATTATCCCAAAGAACGCTTACAAAATATATTAGCAAGTTTTTCTAAATGCAAAACCGTAATTTCATCTAATTTACGTTATCATTCAAATGATTTATTTTATTTATTTTCATTAATTTAATTTTAAAATAAATCATCAAAAATTAATCAACACAGGGATACTTTAACGAAAAAGAAGAATGTAAAAAGTTAAGAGACATTAACACAAAATTAGAGATGGACTTAAAAGAAGCTCGTGAGTTAGAAAAATCCCACCGTTACCATTTGCAGAACTCTCGTGAAATGATTGGAAATCTACAAGAAACTATTTCACAGTTAGTTTATCTTAAAAGAGACGCAAAAAGGTTGAAAGAAGAAATTATTGCAAAGGACACTGCTATAGTAACAATGGAAAAGGTATAACTTCAGAAGTGGGTTTCTATTGCAAAAGATACCTACCTATCGACTTCTATACCTATTATACCCAAAAATTAAATGGAATAATACATATTATATTTCCTGAGATTATGTATAATGATATGATATACTTATTATACGTACTATTATTTGACGACGTTGTTACCTTGTGGTCAAAGTCACATAAAATGACACCTATATCTCGAAAGTCGGAGTGCTACAACCAACTGCCATATAATTATACAGTTAAAAGTACATATAGTAAGTTTAGTAACAGTCTCACTGCTGGCCCTGCTGGTAAGTCCGCCGCCCAGCTCCAACGAGTGCTAGCGGACTTTACATGTCATCGAAATATTTTATTCGCTTGACATGTAGGTTTCCTCACGATGTTTTTTTTTCACCGCCGAGCATGTAGTAAATCAGCGCTTAAAATTGCAACTATCTAACAAATCCATTGGTGTCTGTGAGGAGCGGTGATCAAACCGGTGTTGGTCAGCGAGCGCTAAGCCACGTCTCTTCTTATAGAATACTAGCTGTGCCCCGTGGTTTCACCCGCGTATAATATCACGCGTCTGTGCCTCGCGACATGCGAACTTCGAGAGAGACATCGCGACGGACGGTTGCTGAATTAACAAAGATATAAAAAGTGAAATATGTTACTTAAGTTTCATGGTTAACGTAATTGGTGGTTATGCATGGTACAGGTATACCAAGGTGCGAATAATGTGTAATTATTGGCGTTACTATTGCATATTTTAACATGAAAAAGAAGTTATTGTGACATAACTGTAAATAGTTAGACATGCGGTATGGCGGACCTTTTCGTAGATATTGCTGTCCTCTATTATATAATTGTAGCACATCACTTTGCTCTTTTGTCAATAGTTTCCGCAGCGTACGCGATATAAGGAATTATAAGGCGTTACTATTGCACATTTTAACATGAAAAAGTAGTTATTGTGACATAACTGTACCTAATAGTTAAACATATGGTACCGCAGACTTTTTTTGTACATATTGATGTCCTCTATAAGACTGTAGTATATCACTTTGCTATAAGGATTCTTTTCGGTATTTTTTTCACACATTGGGTTACATTAACTAAGTTTTTATACGGATCTCTAACCTTTTTGAAAATATTCTATCTCCTATGTTCATCAGGGACAATGTAGGATTCTAATGGTGAAAGAATTTTTCAAATCGGTCCAGTAGTTTCGGAGCCTATTCAATTAAAACAAACAAACAAATATTTCCTCTTTATAATATTAGTGTAGACTACAGTACATTATGTTCACGGATAACGACTACGACACTGCAGTCTGCTGCCACTGGTCCGAGTTTGAGTTAATTATTTGGGTCTCCTAGTTAGATCAAAACACTAATAGTATATTTTCGGATATGGGTGCGTAGAGATTTTCCCGCGTCTGACACTGCATTTAAGCCTACCTCCGATCTTTCTGCTTAATAAACGTTACATCGGAGTGTATGAAAGCATTTGTGTTTGCGTCTATACTGGTCGCCTTATGTCCTCCCAGTTGACAGCTTTCAATTTAAGAGGTTATAGATCAGCCAGGATGACATCATTATCAACATCGTCATCATCACCGCTATCATCATAATATGTTGGCCTCGCGGCTGGAAAATTTTTAAAGTGATGTGTTTATAAAATTAATGTTAATATTCAATGGCCAATGTTCATTGAGTGAGATTGATCCGCCTGATCCTGAAAGGCGTACAACGCGTAACGTAAATAGTCCATTGGTATCATAATAGACCGCCTCCTATATTTGCCGAGTTACGATTTGCAGAAGAATTAGATATCGCAGTAAGTACCAGACGTCTTATCCTTTCACAATGCTTCCTGTTGCCAGTCTGTGTATTTGAATTTAGAATTCTTCATCGTGTAGCATACGTTAGGTGGTATTATCGGGCTCAACAATTATCATTTTTATACTATTTTAAGTACACGTATTTTTTGTTTCACTCGTAAGTGCTGATTTACCAGTTGCTCGACGATGAACATAAACATCGTAAGGAAACTCTTATATTATTAATTGTTAAACCCCCTTTTATTTGAATTCTATTAGGATAAAGAAGCGGTTGAAAAGAAGCAAAATGAGGCTCTGGCAGAATTGCGTAGCTTTTATGAACAACAGATAGAAGAAATCAAAGCCGGAAATGAACGGAAGCGTGCGTAGATATTATTTACGTATTATATCCTTCTTTAGCAGTTTTAGTTGTTTTGGCTTGGTTGGATAAAATATACTTTTTGAAATAGTATATTCTTGGGATAAAAATGCGTCACATGAAATACTCAGTTAAATCCTTAATCGAATGGGATTTTAAAATACTTTATGTTAAGCGAAAATAAAAAAAATTACTATCGAGGAAAAACTGTGACGTTCTTTTTTATATTATAATATATTTCGATAATATGAATGCTACAATTTTTATTTCCATCTTTAACTTTTTGATAACAAGCAAAAACCTCAAAAACCTTTCAAATAATATAACTTTTTACGCACCTAATGTCGCACGTTAACTTCGTGCTAGTTCTTGTACTATTATTTATTCTGTGTCTTTTTTTGGGTGGGTAGGGTGACAAACGAGCACACAGTCCACCTGATGGTAAGTGGTTGCTGTGGCCCATAGACATCTACATCTAGCTCTGTTTAAGAATTAAAATGCAGATGCGTTGTCAGCCGTGAGGACTAACATAGAATACCTCTGTTCCAGTAAAAAGGGTCTACAGTCCTCTACACTCACCATACGAAACACGGCAGCATTAAGCTGCAATTTTACGTTGGTATTCTGTGAGAGCGTGGTCCTTCACCGGTCGACCCATTTGTGCTACAACTATACTATTAATATTTTTTTTTATAGGAAAGGGGGCAAACGATCATGCGGCTCACCTGATAATAAGTGACTACCGCCGCCTATGAACAACTGCAACACCAGGGGAACCAGGGAAATTGCATATGCGTTGCCGACCTTTTAAAACGGAGTAGGCTCTTTTCTTGAAGGTCCCTAAGTCGTATCGGTCCGGAAAAATCGCTGATGGGAATCGATTCCACAAGGAAGTTGTGCGAGGAAAAAAACATCTTCTAAATCGCACAGTGATGGACCGCCAATCATCAAGATGGTGTGGATGGTATCGGGAGTTCTGCCGCGATGTGCGTTCGTGAAATTTGGCGGCTGGGATTAATCCGAACAATTCCTCAGAGCACTCTCCGTGGTAAATGCGAAAGAAAATGCAAAGGGATGCAACATCTCTTTGCAGCGCCAATGAATCGAGCCGATCGGAAAGGACACGGTCGTCGACGATTCGAGCCACTCTGCACTGGATGCGGTCAAGTGGAAGGAGCTGGCACTGGGGTGCCCCGGCCCAGAGATGGAAACAGTATTCCATGTGAGGTCGAACCTGCGCCTTGTAAAGTTGCAGGCGTTGTGCCGGCATTAAATACTGTCCCGCTTTGCTGAGCACGCCGAGCTTTTTAGAGGCCAATTTGGCCTTCACTTCCAAGTGACCACGAAACTGCACGTCACTTGATATGTCGACGTCGAAGATTCCGATACTGGCTGAGGCAACAAGGGGAGTGCCTTGAAACTGAGATGATACGACAAAGGGGTTCTTTTTAGCGGTAAACGCGCAAACTTGTGTCTTCTGAGGATTAAACTGGACTATATTTAGTCGCCCCCAATCCGAGACTTTGTTCAGCAAAGACTCGACTTCAGACACAAGTTTGTTCCGGTACTCGGCGACGTTTTCCCGAGAAATATTGGCACGGCCGGTGTATAGAGCATCACCAATGCTGTCATCCGCATAGCAATGAATGTTACCAGTTTGCAACATATCATTGATATGCAGAAGAAACAGCATTGGTGATAGCACACAGCCTTGTGGAACACCAGCATTGATAGGCTTGTAGTCGGAGCGTGCACCGTCTACTACGACCTTGATGCTTCGATCTGCAAGGAAGCTGGTGATCATATAACTACAGCAAGGCTCTACCACGTAAAAAAATGTTGCTGGAGAAATAAGCATGCAGCGGAGAAGGTAGGAAATCCTCGCCTTAGGAAACTGGTAAAAAGGTCCGACATATTTTTTTATTTATGTTATCCTATGTGTAAAAATCAATGAAGGAAAATAAATTTCGAGATCCCTAATTTGCAAGGTAGTAGGATGCATTTTTTTCCTTGGGGTCAGTCTGAACTGGTCGTCTTATTTTTATCTGTCGCTGGGAAGCAGTGCACTCACTGCTATGTCTGTATTAAAGTCCAAGGAAAGTGGTATACCAGCTCCTGTACAAGTACAGACTGTGACGAGTTTCACCTTTCTACTATGTATCTAACTCATAGATTGCAGGTTTCCATGGGTCCCAATAAGTCAACTGTTAACCAACTTGCTACTCTAGTAATGTTATAAAAAGTAACCTGAAATACTTAGTCATAAAAACAACATAAGTCTCCGCGTGCTTGTACATACGTACATATGTAGATACGGAGAAGGGCTTATAACTGTGACCCCCTTCGCTGATAAAAGATGGACGATGATATTTGATGTATAAATAATTCAACGTTTTTTTAACGATTTCCATAAATTTTACACTACAATTACGTCACGTTTTCGATTTCAGGTTAGTCTTTAAAACATTGATTTATAAAAAGATACATTTTAATTGTAGAATACGAAAAAGTACTAAAATCGATACATTGGTACGTACATGTGACGGTAACCTAAAATGGTGATTACTATGCCCCTATAGTTGGCAAAGTTTTTCTATATTTGGCTGTTCGTACGTTTAGTAAGAGTTCGCAGTTCTAAAATCTTATATGTCAACAAGTTACAATAACTTTAATATTTATTTTCAAAGTACGACAAGTTCAACATGAATCCGATACGCAAATAGCGCAGTTCACATGCGTGGTCGAGGAATTGCGGAGCAAACTGAATGAAGTGGAAGCCGAACACAGGGATAAGGTAACGTTTTGACCAATTGCAATTGCATTTGCTGCAATTAGCAAATAAATTTTTTTATAAAATGGGGTGACAAACGAGCACACAATCCACCTGATGGTAAGTTGATGCTGTGGCCCATAGACATCTACATTTATGTTCGATTAAGAATCAAAATGCAGATGCGTTTTCACCCCTGAGGACTACGATGGAATGCCTCGTTTCCAGTAAAAAGACTCTCCGGTTCTCTACACTCACCATACGAAACACGGCTGCATTAAGCTGTTATTTTGCGCTGGTATTCTGTGAGAGCGTGGTCCTTCCCCGGTCGAGCCGTCGCATTCGTGCTACAACAATAATATATGTGCAGCGTGGCTCTACCACGTATAAAATTTGTCTTAATTAATTTCTGTTATATTTTTTTAATAAATCATATAAACGTTAGCCATTTTTGTTATATCAGGTGTTGGGAATCCTTTTTTGCCTAGGACCTAGGAGTCCGTGGGTAGAGGTAGAGAATAGCAGTGCTTGTAATGTGTTCTGTGTTCCGATCTAAAGAGTATAGAGAGTTAGTATACGAGTAGTTACAAGCTGTGAGGAATTTCATCTTAGTTCTCACGGTTACAACGCATCTGTAGCTTCTTTTATATAATGTTGGCTGCAGGTGTCCACGGACTGCAGTTGCCACTTCATCTGAACTGTTAGTTCGCTTGTCATATCAATTTAAAAATATATATATATAAGGATTTGATTTTACAAGCTGTTTAGGTGCTAGGTAGTAACACCTATAAGTGCTTAAACTAACAGTGATTATTTCGACTCTTCGTAAATTCTACGTGGTCTAACTAAGCATTGGTTGCATTGTGCCTGCATTACTCTGTTTAACGAGGGAACTGCTACGCTGGCTTATAACCGCCATAATCCTACCGTGTTCCTTGTGATTATTAACGAGATTTATTTCTGGTGGCGAGGTATTTTTTTTATAGGACAAGGTGACAAACGAGCATACAATCGATCTGATGGTAAGTGGTTGCTGTAGCCCATAGCATCTACATCTATTCTTGTTTGCGAATCAAAATGCAGATGCGTTGTCACCCGTGAGGACTAAGATGGAATGCCTTTTTTCCAGTAAAAAGGGTCTCCGGTCCTCTACACTCACCATACGAAACACAGCAGCATTAAGCTGCTATTTATGAGAGCGTGGTCCTTCACCGGTTGAGCCAATCCATTCGTGGTACAATTATACTACTAATATAGCTGCACCACGGCTCTATCACGTAAAACGTACCTAGGCTACTGATAACGTATTTCGATTTAAACCGTAATCCAAAGGAAACGTAGATGTCTATAGGCCATATCATCATTTCACTATCAGGTGGAGAGTGTAGTTCTTTGACACTTACTATGTCTCCATTACCAGACCGTAAGAGTCAATTGTGAAATATAATATGCCTCTTCCTTTGAATGTTTGGTTTGCCATAAATGCCACAGTATATATATTCGAGACATCTTTACACAACTTTTTTTGCTTTTTAAGTTTGTATGTTCGTTTAACTTGACTGCCTCATTGGTCTAGTAGTAGTAAGCGCGACTACTGATCATGAGGCACCGGGTTCAAATCCAGGGTTGGGTCAAAACATTTATTGGGTTTTTCTGTCAAGCAATTCTCACTAGTAACCGAATTCGGGAAGTTTTCCGTGCTTCATCCCCTCGCTTCGGAGAGCACGTAAAAAAGATGTTGGTCCAGTGCCTGATCTATCTCCGGTCGTGTTGGGTTGCCGTCCCATCAGACTATGAGAGTGAGGGAATAGAGAGTGCACCTGTGACTGCGCATACACTATAAAAGAGCACTATAATCCTGTCCCGCGCAGATGGCTAGTCTCCGTTGATGCCTGCCGCTGTGACCGGAATTGGGTCTGAAAGACATTACTATTGAACTTTATTTTATATTGTATCTTATCCGTGCCTCGAAGTTTTGAGATACCACAGGGTCTCTTGTCATATTGTATTGTTTTGTTATGTAGCATGCTCGCTATGGGAGTGTAGTGTATACAGAATCTACATATGTGTTATAATAATATTTATAGAGAGGTTTTCGTTATGAAAAAGTAACGCTCTTATTTTTGTTTGTGACCTGTATTTGTTTCTGATTTCGTTTATTTATAGCTCAGAATGTAGTTTTTATTTTGGTGACAAACGAGCAGACAGTCCACCTGATGGTAAGTGGTTGCTGTGGCTCATAAACATCTACATCTATCCTAGATGACGAATCAAAATGCAGATGCGTTGTCACCCGTGAGGATTATGATGAAATGCCTCGTTCTCGACACTCACCATACGAAACACTACAGCGTTAAGCTGCTATTTTACACTGGTATTCTGTGAGAGCGTATTCCTTCCCCGATCGAGTCGACCCATTTGTGCTACAACTATACCAGTAATATAGCTGTGTATTCTGTATTCTAAAACTTGTGATTATCCAAGTCATTTTCTTTAGCAATTTCGTATCCGTGTTTTTGCATCTAATGTCAACTAACTTAACTTTCACTTCGCTTACATAGATGAATATGGTAGTGCTGGAGTATGAAGAAAAGATTCAACGTAGTGCAGCGCAAGTCGCGCAACTTCAGGATCAGCTAGCAAGGCAAAGCGCGAGGACTGATGCGAACATAGATGCGTACCGACGGGTGAGTGTATTACGTTACCTCCACACTAGGATTTTCTCCTGTATCGTGGGGGCAGTTTACATACATAAATTTCACAAGGACAAACATCTGGACCCGGAACAATTATATGTAGGCAATACAAATACTTGTTCCCTGCGAGATTCGAACCCGCGGCCCTTAGCGCAGCAAATCATTGCTAAGCCACTGCACCACCGAGCCGTTAAGCTTCAGTTTATAGACACAATATGTTTCTCTCTTCCTTCTTATTTTACGAGCTTATGAATAGATTAAGCAACGTTTTTTTTAATTGGATATATTTTTTATTTATTTAAGAACAATGTTAATTTGGATTTGTATGCAATAAAGTATGTATTATATGGTTAAACACGCCATTTTTCTTCAGCACTCGGACTGAAACTCGGACACAACCGTGTAGTGGCGGTGTAAGAATATCCACTACCCTAGAGGGAAACTGAAACAGGAGATGGGCAGCCGCATCTTTCTGATATCAACTTCAAATAATAAAAAACTACGGTTGCCAACCCGCATGCCATGCGTGGTAACTATGGGGAAGTCCCCCTTGAGACAATCTATGAGGCAGGCCTGTGTTCAGCTGTGGTCTTTTACTTTTAGGCTGTAATGGATGGATGGACTCGGACTCTTTTATCATGCTATGTTGGATTCCATGCTCTGTGGTCAGCACAATAATCTACAAAATATTCCAAATATTTTACTTATTTCAAGACAATAATATGAGTGACAAACAAACGTGTCCACCTGGCGGTAATTTGTTACAGCAATCAATGAACACCTGCAACAAGGAAAGCCGTAGACGCGTTGTCTACTCTTCAAAACAAATTCTTTCTAATTATGGCTTTCGATAGATGGTAGCATATATACACGGTTATTTTCCAAAAAGTAGCCATATTTTAAACTTAAGTTTAACTTTAAATATATGAATAAAGATATACCGTTATTGCCGTTCTTGAAAAATGAGGCTTCTACTTTTATTTGAAATTATACCAAATTGAATGTGAATGTGATTTATGGGCAACAACGTTTATACTTACCTATCTTCCCTTACGAATGTGTGCGTGCGCCGTAAAATCAGTTAAAATAATGTATTACTACGCATTTTAAATTTAAAAGATAAAAAGGACAGAATGTTTGAGATTTTTTTTAATTAATTTTTCTTCACCAATAGCCTATATTGCTTATTAAACCTTCTCTGCAAATTTGGCCGGTAATTGCAAAATAACCCTGTATAAACCCTACCAAACCCTGATTACAGTTCTCATCTCTGGGCCGGGGCACCCCAGTGCCAGCTCCTTCCACTTGACTGCATCCAGCGCAGAGCGGTTCGAATCGTCAACGACCGAGTTCTTTCTGATCGGCTCGATACACTGGTACTGCGTAGAGATGTTGCATCTCTTTGCGTATTTTATCGCATTTACCACAGGGAGTGCTCTGAGGAATTGTTCGGACTAATTCCAGCCGCGCGATTTCACCATCGCACATCGCGTCAAAACTTGCGATACCATCCATACCACCTTGATGATTGGCGGTCCACCACTGTGCGATTTAGAAGATGTTTTCTTGCTCGCACAACTTCCTTGTGGAATCGATTACCACCAGTGATTTTTCCGGACCGATACGACTTAGGGACCTTCAAGAAAAGAGCCTACTCCTTTTTAAAAGGCCGGCAACGCATCTGCAATTCCCCTGGTGTTGCGGTTGTTCATGGGCGGCGGTAGTCACTTACCATCAGGTGAGCCGCATGCTGGTTTGCTTCATCTCCTATAAAAATAATATTTAAAATGAACATCTATAAAAATGTTCTAAAAAGTTGTGAATTACAGAAATTAGAAGAACTGGAAGAAAAACTCAAGCAAAACCAATTCAAAGAATACCTAGCTCAGAGTTCTTACCCATCGCAATTCGAAAGTGGGGTGGAAAGACCTTATTCTGTGAACAGAGATTTATACACTGACACTTGTTCTGTTGATTTAAATCCAGTACTCGAGAGCTCTAAGCAGCTGCCAAAGTGCATAATAAATCAGAACAAGATGCCAAGAGCAACTAATTCTCTTCAAGTCACATATAGCGGCAGTAAAACTCCATGCACGATAAGGAGTAACGAAAAGAAAGGACAATTCAACATAACAAAGAAGCGTAAGCTTTATACTGAGAAGGACTTTCAAGACTTTTAATTTCTATGCGTCATTTGTTACATTTTTTTTAATTTCTGTGAAACTTTAAATAAAGTGCACGTTCTCAACGTCGCCCACTTGGCAATTTATATACTTTCACTTCTCGTTTAAATGTACTCGTAAACATAGACATTTACGTCTTTTGTTGTGTTCTAAAGACAAAAAGACAACACGCTTTCTACGGTATTGTGGCAATTACGTAATTTCTATAATTATTTTCATGAAACCTTTAACTACTGTCTTCGAACTTTAGATTTAGAATACACTGGTGAGAAATCAACGAAATATACACTCACACACGCATACACGTGAGCAAATGTTTCTTCTTCTCTGTCTTCCAATAAGGATCGAAAAAGTGGAACATATAAAGTATGACGGCGGAATGAATGACAAAAAAATGAATTTTTCGAAAAAAAAAAATTGATCGGTTTTTAAGCATAGCTCCTTCATTTTAGGTGATAGAAATTTTTTTACAGAAACGATTTTGTAGGGCTTTTCAGGAGCTATAAGACTATGTGAATTAAATTAGTTAAGATACCTTAATATTTAAATGGGGAGAGTTTAAAGCGCTTGAATAAGGTGATGTTCGATCGTAAATGTAGGATTTAAACGGCTATATCTCGCCGAATATTCACTGTACAAAAAATCTGCACACAGGGAAATTTTTGTCATTAAAAAAAGCTACAATTTAGTACTCTATCGTTTTTTTCGTATCTTTAGTATTTTGGAAGATATTGAAAAGAAATTGGAAAAACTCGTTTTCTCTTTAAACTCTAATTTTTCTAAAATTAGGCATTTTAAATTGGTCAAACTTCTTCGGTATATTAATGTACATATATAAAGAGAATCACAGAAGGGTGGCGATCAATTTTAATTAGGGGGTACTTTGGGGGTTGTTTTCACAGATTTTTTTCGTAGAAAAAAGCGTGTACCGATTTTTTTTTATAGGATCGGGTGACAAACGAGCACACAGTCCACCTGATGGTAAGTGGTTACTGTGACCCATAGACATCTACATCTATCCTCAATAAAGACTGAAGATGCAGATGCGTTGTCACCCGTGAGGACTAAGATGGAATACCTCTTTGCCAGTAAAAAGGGTCTCCGGTTCTCTACACTCACCATACGAAACACAGCAGCGTTAAGCTGGTTTTCTGTGAGAGCGTGGTCCTTCCCCGGCCGAGCCGAGCCATTCGTGCTACAACGATAATATAGCTACAGCATAGCTCTACCACGTAGAAAAACAAATATAGCTTCAATATCAGTCGCATTACCCCATAGGAAAATTCCATAAGACTACGCTATGAAAGTAACTAAAATTAATGTGGGAGGCCTATGTTCAGCACTGAACTTCTGATAGGCTGCGACAACGGTATAAGGGTATGACACAAATGTTCCAATTTCAAATTACTCTCCACATTTTTACGAGCAAAACTGAAACACTTACCGTGTTTCATTGAAAAATGGATTTGCGTCGGCATCATTTTCGCATATCATTCGTTACGATTTTATACACCACATAAAAACGGACGGAACTACTGCTGTTTTAACAGATTTCAGTAAGGTCAACTAACTCTGAGAGATGAAGAAAGACAAAGTGGTCGCTAATTCGGTCGTCTATTAAGGAAGGAAACGTGCAAGAAGTGAAAAGTTTAATTGAGGCGAATATGCGAATTAATTATAAAGAGTTTCAGCACATATTGCAGATTGGATCGGAAAACGTTCACGAGATTTCATATTAACTTCTTGTTATATATGTCACAGTCAAAACTCATAACCGGTCAAAACCATTTTTGACTGCAAAAATCAGGCAAAAATGGTTTTGACCGACGCCTTTAGTAGTCAAAAACAGTTTTGAGTGATTTTTGTAGTCATAAGTGGTCTTGCTGTGTAGTGGCGGTCAAGAATATCCACTACCCCATATCCTCCCGTGGGTGTCGTAAAAGGCGACAAAGGGAAACAGGCAGGAGATGGGCAGCAGCATCTTCCTGATAATAGCCAAAATTACAATAAAAAAACTGCGGATGCCAACCCGCTCGCCAAGCGTGCCAACTATGGCAAATACCCCCCAATGATTAAAGCAACAAACAGACGGCCCCCAGTCCCCAGCGGCCCCGCTGTTCCTGGCTACGGTGGCGACCATGGTAACGGCGGGGCAGGGGGTGCTAAGAATCTCCGGTGGAGGAGGTTCGGTTGCCACCTTAGACGACTCGACCTGGCAACGTACAACGCACGCACCCTGAGGACTGACGAGAAGATCGTGGAGCTGGAAGAAGAGATAGACAAGTTGCGCTGGCATATTATAGGATTATCCGAAGTCCGAAGAGAGGGGGAGGACACGGTAATCCTCGAATCCGGCAACTTGCTCTATCACCGGGAGGGCGACCATCTGTCCCAAGGAGGTGTCGGATTTATCGTCCACAAGTCTCTCGTTAACAACGTTGTAAAGATCGGGAGTGTGTCGACGAGGGTTGCGTACCTTATACTCAGAATCACCAAACGGTATTCGCTGAAGGTCATACAGGTTTACGCACCAACCTGGGCACACCCCGATGAGAAGGTGGAGGAAATGTATGAGGATATCTCTAGAGCCATGCATTCTTCCAAAACCCAATATACGGTGTTAATGGGAGACTTCAATGCAAAACTAGGCACAAGAGAGAATGGTGAGCTGAAAGTAGGGAAATTTGGAATAGGGCAACGGAACCCAAGGGGCCAGCAGCTGGCCGACTTAATGGAGAAAGAGGGACTCTTTATGATGAACTCTTTCTTCCAGAAGCGGCCCCACAGGAAGTGGACCTGGTCGAGCCCCGACGGTGCGACAAAAAATGAGATTGACTTCATTATGACGACCAGACGACAACTCAGTGATGTCTCCGTGATCGCGAGGGTGAAAACTGGTAGCGATCACCGAATGGTTAGAGGCACACTGAACCTAAACGTTAAGTTGGAGAGGTCTCGTCTAATGAAGTCAACGCTCCGTCCCCCTAGTGCTCTGTTCCAAAGTCCCGAAACCTTTCAGCTCGAGTTACAAAACCGTTTTCAGTGCCTAGAAGACTGCAATGAAGTGGACGATATGAATGACAAGCTCGTGGAAACTGTCCATGCGGTCGGAGCTAAGTTCTGCAAGACCCGCCGCAGAAGAACACAAAAACTCTCCGATCACACTCTTAATCTCATGGCTGTTAGACGGGAGATGAAGCTACATTCTTCAACAGACTTGACAGCATACAGGCATCTGAACAGACAGATCTCCAAATGCATGCGGCGGGACTTACGCAACTTCAATACAGCTCGTATTGAAGAAGCGATCGAGCGGAACCAAGGCTCCAAAGTCTTTGCCAGAGATTTGTCTGCCAGAAAGAGCCAACTGTCAAAGCTGAAGACAGAATGTGGCAGCATCGTTTCCGGGACACCTGTAATTTTGAGTGAGATTGAGAGGTTCTATGAGCAGCTGTACACGTCATCGTTGGAGCCACACGTAAGTGTGAGTAACGATCCAAGAGCGAGTCTCATCCGACACTATTCCGAAGATATCCCGGACGTCAGTCTGAGCGAGATTAGAATGGCTCTCGAGCACCTTAAAAACGGTAAGGCCCCAGGCGAGGATGGAATTACAGCGGAGCTTCTGAAAGCGGGTGGAAAACCGGTACTTGAAGTCCTTCAGAAGCTCTTTAAATCCGTCCTCCATGGTGGCATTACACCGGAGGCGTGGAGCAGAAGTGCGGTGGTCTTGTTCTTCAAGAAAGGTGACAACGCTCTCTTGAAGAACTACAGACCGATTTCCCTTCTGAGCCGCGTCTACGTGCTGTTTTCGAGAGTCATTACGAATCGTCTCGCGCGCAGACTTGACGACTTCCAGCCTCCCGAACAAGCCGGTTTCCGAAAGGGTTTTAGCACCATAGACCACATACATAGCCTTCAGCAAATTGTACAGAAGTCCGAAGAGTACAATTTGCCACTATGTCTGGCGTATGTGGTCTATGAGAAAGCCTTTGATTCCGTCGAAATTCGGGCGGTGCTGCAGTCCCTTCAGCGGTGCCAAGTTGTCTGTCGGTTTATCAAAGTGTTGAAGTGTTTGTACAGTAGAGCTACGATGGCTATCCGAGTACAGAACCAGAGTACGAAACCTATCCAATTGCAGAGAGGTGTAAGACAGGGTGACATCATATTCCCGAAACTCTTCACCGCTGCATTGGAAGACGTTTTCAAGCTTCTGGACTGGAAAGGATACGGTATCAACCTCAATGGCGAGTACATCACTCACCTTCGATTTGCCGACCATATAGTCCTTATGGCAGAATCGCTGGAGGACCTAAGCACTATGCTCAATGACCTCAATAGTGTCTCCCAACGGATAGGTCTTAAGATGAACATGGACAAAACAAAGATTATGTTCAATGTCCATGTCACACATATGCCGGTAGTTGTTGGGAGCACTAAGCTCGAAGTTGTTGACGAGTATGTTTACATGGGACAAATAGTCCGACTAGGTAAGTCCAACTTCGACCGAGAGGTCAATCGACGGATTAAACTGGGCTGGGCAGCGTTCGGGAAGCTACGACACATTTTCTCGTCAGACATACCTCAAAACCTTAAAACGAAATTGTACAACCAGTGCGTGTTGCCAGTGATGACTTACGGAACTGAGACGTGGTCCTTCACAGCTGGCCGTATGAGGAAGCTCAAGGTCGCTCAGCGAGCTATGGAGAGGGCTTTGCTCGGAGTTTCTCTGCGTGATAAACTTAGAAATGAGGATATCCGCAGTAGAACTAGAGTAACCGACATAGCCCAACGGATTAGTAAGCTGAAGTGGCAGTGGGCCGGCCATATAGCTCGAAGAACCGACAACCGATGGGGAAGAAAGGTTCTCGAGTGGCAGCCTCGTACCGGTAGGCGAAGTGTAGGGCGACCCCCCACGAGATGGAGTGACGACCTACCTGGTAAGGCATGCAGGAAGTCGATGGATGCAGGTGGCTCAGGACCGTGCTTTGTGGCATTCCTTGGGGGAGGCCTATGTTCAGTAGTGGACTTGTGAAAGGCTGTAATGATGATGATGATTATGTAGTGGTCTTAACCATCGTTCTTAGTCAAAAGTGGTGTTGACTGATTTAAACTTCAGACTATCGGTCAAAACTCGCAATATCAGTTACAGTAAGCTAAGGCGCGGCTGCCTAAAGCTGCGTACATTTTAATGATATAAAATATAATATTGAAGAAATTGAACGTTTTAATTTCTAAAATTCAAAAAGAATATGTCAAAAGAAGTTTTGACTAACATTGTTGGTCAAAAACACTTTTAACCGATGTAATTTGGTCAAAATCACTATTACCCAGTATTTTTGCAGTTAAAAGTGGATTTGACCAACGGTCTTAGTCAAAACTACTTTTGACTACAAAAATCAGTTAAAAGTGGCATTTACAAACGTCCTTAGTCAAAACTACATTTGCCTGATTTTTACAGTCTAAAGTGGTTTTGACCGGTTATGAATTTCGACTGTAAGTACCTGCTAAGAAAATCAAGTCAATTGTTGCACCGTGATGGTGGAGTATCTAAATATTTTTAATTACGTCTAAAGGTAATATGACTGCGATCGTTTGATATGGTACTTTTTAAAACGGACCTTCTTTACATTTTATTTACATAGACCTTTTTGACTGAAAAACAAAAGATATCGCATGTAGGTAATTGCTTTCTATTTGTTGAAAATGTGCTTGCAAACAAATTATTGTAACTAAGGGCCGATTTTTCAATCATCACTCAATAGATAAAAGTTATCCATAAAATAAATTATAATCTGTCTGATATAAAAGTGAAACAGTTGAACTATTTTATTAATTCAATTACTGTCCTCAGACCGTATGGTGTTTCATATGATGAGTGTAGAGAACCGGAGACTATTTTTTACTGGAAACGAAGTATTCCATCTCAGTCCTCAGGGGTGACAACGCATCAGCATTTTGATTCTTAATTGAGGATCAATGTAGATGTATATGGACCACAGCATCTACTTACCTGATGAACTGTGTGCTGGTTTGTCACCCTTATTCAATATTTTTAAAAAAACAACCTTGAGGTAGCAACTGTCATTTTTAATTTGTTTATGTAGTGGTTTATCCTATTATACTCGTATTCCCTTTATTCTCTTTTCTAATAATGTCATTGGGTTAATCTGTTACTGCAAACTGAATAGTCCTATTTAATCTCTCTGTTTATTTTAGCTGAAATAATACTTCATAATTTGATGTTATCATTAAGAAAAAAAATGTTATGGTAGGCAATTATGGCATCGTTATTTCATGTTACGTCATTATCACCTTACACGTTCTAGAGCGTAAAATTCGTTCTACTAAACTTTACTTTCCAGTAATAATATTAATAAAATTAAGAACTGAATTTTATAATTTGAATAAAAGCACTACATCATGTGCGTTTTGTTCCGTGACCACCACACAACGTAATACAAGATTATTACATAGATATGGAAATGTGAAATCAGCATGCAAGAAGTGTGTCAAAAAGAACGTGGAGAAAAATGAAATATGAACAATTTTAACTTTAACGTATTCTACACAATCTCCTCTCGGATATGAGTGGGCTACTCATATCCGTTGAGAGATTAACATGTCTGGGGCGTAACCGCGAGGAAAAATAACTTCTTTTAGCTAACTTTTATTTGTATCCATATTAGTGTCGGGCTGACGCATTCATATTTTTTTACACACACCCATTCTTTCTCAAAGGATAGTCGATATTATACCTTGCATGTATGCTTAGTCTCGTCTACACCAGAACAGTAAGGGGAATACATGCTACGAACAGTGGCATCCTTTCTTTTTCGTGTCTCATTTACACATATTTCACCTATTCCTCTATGCTTCCTTTCCTTCTTCCATTCCTTCATCCATCGGTTTATACACATTCAGCGTAGACAAACGGGCTTGCACAGTTCATTTCTCGCCGCACCCGGGGACAGAATGTGACGGGTGCGACCACTCCTGCTCCATTAAAGGGGTAGCGGGAAAAACGTCTTTAAGCCTCCCGAATAGATCACATTCACAACCTTTGGAAAATTTTATAGAAATGTACTGTTTATGTTACGTATGTGGACTATGAAAAAACCTTTGATTCCGTTGAAATTGGGGTGGTACTACAGTCTCATCAACTGTGCAAGGTTAACTGTCGACATATCGAATTGCTGATGCTGAAGTGTTTGTAAGGCTTCGATGACTATCCGCTTACAATACCAGAGAACGTAACCTATCCAACTGCGACACAAGAGATATATATCCCTTGATCCATTGCGCAGGCGTAGGTACACTCCTGAGGAGTGGCGGTCAGCGATGGATGGGTCTCAGATGTGTCGAAAGCGTTTCCGTAGCCCTAACAATATTAATGAAATTTCGACCGATAACAAGAACTTGCACGACCAGTGCGAGTTATCAGCAATAACATATTGGTCTGAAACAATCCTTCACCGCTGGCCATAGGAAAAAGCTGAGAGTTCCCAGCGAGTTATGGAGTGGGCTATGCTCGGAGTTACTCTGCGCGATAGAGTTCGAAATATGGATATACGCAGTAAAATCAGAGTAATGGACATAGCCTAAGGGATCAGTAGGTACCTAAGTAGTATGTTTTATTAAGTAAAAACTTTCGTATTCACCCTTACTTTCCGTTTATCATTAACGTAAATGCTGTCCCTTATTTATGAATGTAAACACCGATAAACGCATTATTAAACTTATGTAGGTACACGTAGTCGACTAAACTGCTGGTGAGAACGTAAATTATTATTTTATTGTTTCCAGCAGTGTTACATAAAACCACTGACTGCAATTGTCGCACGATTGTATATTCCAACAGCATAATTAGTAGCCTATTATAATTAAAAAGAAATATCATAAAACATTGAAAGGAAGTCAGTATACTGTAATCTAACATATAATTACATAAGACCACATCGTCTACTCTGTTCCCTGACGAAACTCTGAATATTAATTTTATGTCAGACTACTTCTACTATGTGGTTTTTCCGTCATCTATAGAAGGCTTGAATATACCTATGGATAAGTGAGGTAGGTATCGGGACCGTTATACAATTTTCTATAAAATGGAAAGTGTAGAGTAAATACGTTCAGATAATCTTGTACGCATTTTACTCGATTTAACTCTCTACCTAATGAATATCTACGAAAGTTAACCACACCGTATATTACAGTACGACAGTATCAAGTAAAGTGTCTTTTAACCGCTATGTCGATGGCATCTCATAAGATATTTATACGGTAGTGAAACTAAAGCAATTTTAAAACAATTTTCTAATGTATGTTTTAGTTTTAGTCTATCAATTTTAGGTGATATTTTGCAAAAGCTGTAGCTATGTATATTACGGTTGTAATACGAATGGGTGGGCTCGACCGTAAAATTTAATCCTGCTGTGTTTCGTATGGTGAGTGTAGAGAACCACAGACCCTTTTTACTGGAAACGAGGCATTCTAACTAAATCCACAGGATTGACAATTGATTGCATTTTCATTCTTAATTGAGAATAAATATAGACTTCTATGGGAAACTGCATCCCCTTACCATCGGGTGGACTGTGTGCTCGTTTGTTACACTTATTCTATAAAAAAAGTTTAATAGAATAGACATATTTTCCCTAAATGCTCCTAGAAGGCCACGAAATATTCCTTTTGCATGCTTTTGTAAACTTTTTTTTTAAGATAGGTAGGCATTAGAGCTATAAATATAAAGGATACGAAAAACAGGAGCGAAGAAAACAAACTTTTTTTAATAATCAAAAATGGTTTATTATCTTTGGCCAACACTAAAACGAGTAAATTAATAATAAAAATAAATTGATAAACCATTTACCCACTTTACATTTTTATAAAGCAATTAAATACGTATAAAGTACTTGTACGGATGTATAGTTTACATATTTAGCATGTATATTAAAATAATTAAGTAATTTGTATATTTTATGATTAAAAAAATCTATATTGTAGGTAATTAAATAGACATTTTCACAGATTTATTGCAGTAAAATTTTCCTACCTGTATGTGAATTTTATTTCTAAGGAACATCTTAATCAAAACTCAATACAAATGTCGTGTAATTCATCAGGTCAATTAATAACACCTTGAAAATTAACATAAGAGTTTAAAACGAAACGACATTAGTGTGCGAATTTTATTCCATGGAGCTAAAATAATTATCAATATTTCAAAAATTAACTCAATATAGGAGAAACTACTGGTTCCTGATTTTACTTGATAATGAATACCTATAAGATGAGCAAGTTATCTGACGCTCAAGTGTCACTTACGTAGTATTAATACTAGAAAGCGTTCATCAACTCTGCAAGGCCGACACTTCCTTTATCATTTGCGTAGACCAATGTGTTACATAAAGAAGAGAATCAGTACGTAACTTGTTTACATTGGCACGCGTAATGTGTCTTCGCATTACCTCGATAGCGGGGTTGTCATGGTCGCAGTACCTACCTTACCGCAATGACTTAACGAAAGCCGTGACACAAGTCTGTGCTTGCAAACGTCTTGGATTATGAACAGCTCTTTCGAAGTGCTCATTATTTTTCTAATTTTCTTCATCTTGAAGTTGTAATATTTATTACTCGCAATTCTTGTATTATTAGAAGTTAAAAGATACCAAAACATTTTGATTTCTTCGTTTACTTTTCAATTTATTTCCCAGAAGCGTATAAAATTCTGCTTTCTCGAAAGAAGCCTTTTTTAAATTGGGTAAATTTCACAATTGTTACATACTTTTTTCATATTTTTATAAAGTCTAATTAGAAAAGCCCTCTCTTTTAGGACAGTCGAAGGCAAGATTTACTTCATATTTTCACTGAGTATGCTTTGAGAGAATTCCGATATTCTTAATATTATGTACAAAATAAATCCATTACTTGAAAATATGTATGTTCTTAACGGGTTTTTTTTTAAATCACTGGTTACGAATAATTCTATCGAGTGAATTCCAACTACAGGAATAGTCGATCTGCAGGTGGCCGTATTTCGAAAGATGGAAGTTGTCTGGAGCCGTTTTAGGAAACGGCCGGGCCCAATCTTCGTACTCTGGTGACAAGCTTTCGTACGCGCTTTGCTCGTAGGCGTCTGCCATCCTTAAATAAAAAAATATAATTAAAACAAATTAACTATGACATACAAAATTAGTTAACTTTCCAATTGGAATTTGTTGTAATGATAATTTGATATGTATATGTATGTATGTGTCCGATATGTATGTGTATAAATAAATGTCAAAATTTCAACATATCTAATAACTTCACTTCGGAATCCAATTCTACTGTTTTCGAAAAGAGCTCTATTGGCTTGGTGTTATAGCCTTGTAGTTGTAGTATGTTGTAAGTGGCGTATGTTGTTTAAGCAAATGTGTAGTTTATATGGAACATCGACTGGAAACAGCGTGTAATTGGTATTGCAAATACCAGAATTGTTGCAAGTTCTCCATGCTTGAGAGGATTACATTACAAATAAGAACTATTTGTAATGTAAACCTCTCAACTGCTTACTTTTACTATAGTACTGTTTACTAGTAATGTAATCCTTGAATAATCCATAAATAACGTGATCCTACTTGATAATGGCGACAATCATATCAACATAGTGTCAATAACATAAGCAATTGTGATTCAAAAGCAAGACAAATATTATTTCATTTACGTGTTTTCTAACGGACACAGTAATTTTCATTAATTAATGGGAAGATATTTTTTTATAGAAGAGTAAGTGGTTGCTGTGGTCTATATACATCTACATCTATCCTCTATTACCTGAGGTTATCACCTGTGAGGACTAAGATGGAATGCCTCGTTTCCAGTAAAAAGAGTCTCCGGTTCAAAAAGAGAAAAAATAATATAAAGAGTATAGAGACACTCACCAAACGAAACACAGCAGTGTTAAGCTGTTATTTTACGCTGGTATTCTGTGAGAGCGTGGTATTTCCTCGGTCGAGCCGACCCATTCGTGCTACAACTATACCAGTAATATAGCTGCAGCATGACTCTACCATGGAAAACGTGCCTTTTACCACCACGTAAACGTGCCTTTTACGCCTTTGCCTTATTTCTTTTTATACCCTTATACATGCCAAATAATATATTTTTATCGTTTAGTACCTGACTGGGCACACCTGCCAAATACAAAATACTTGAAGAAAATATATGAAGACTACAGCACGAATGCATCGCCTCGACCTGGGATGAAAAGCTGATTGCTGTTGTATTTCGTATTGTGGGTGATGAGAATCGTAGACCCTGTTTACTCGTATCGAGGAATTCCATCTTAGTCCTCAGGTGTTTATGATTCTTAATCAAGAATAGATGTAGGTATTTATGGGTCACAGCATCCACTTACCATCAGGTGGATTATGTACTCGTTCGTCACCCTTGCATCTACTAAAAAAGCTTGATTTTTTATATTTAGATAAAAATATATTTTACATTGCGTAAAATAAAACACAAAATGTATGTAAAATAGGTTGTCTCTATACGCGATATCTTGATAATATGTAAATTTTTATTACAAGTAGGTATTTATGCCATAATTATATTTTTTTTTATATTCATTTCATGGGTTTTGCGCGGAACCCTAATTCTTTTTTAAAACAAAAGTAGCCTAAGTTACTTCTTATAACATCAGCTATCTGCCAGTGACATTCCGGTCAAAATCGGTCCAGCCGTTTCGGAGATTAGCCGGAACAAACAGACAGACAGACAGACAAAAATTTAAAAAATCGTATTTTTGTTATAAGTACCGTATATACTTTCAATTTTTAGTAAAATTTTATAGTAAAAATCTGTTATTTCGACATTAAAAACAGGCACTTAAATTTTATTTATTTGTATAGATTTATTATAAGAAATTAACAATTCTTAACTCCAATGGGAAAGAAAATTACAGTGAATACTTGACGGGACATATTCATTTTTCGCAAATATAGTTTGTGATCAATAATTTTCCGGCTTTAAGGAGGTCAAACTGAATCTTGAATTTGACTGAGGTTAAGAACTGAAAAAAAATATTTTGGATATTTTTTTTACTTATTAAAAGCCAGTGCTTGGCTACAATCCCACCTGGTGGAACCTAAGTGGTATCATCATTCATCATCATTACAGCCCTTCACAAGTCCACTGCTGAACATAGGCCTACTCCAAGGAATGTCACAAAGCACGGTCCACAGCCACCTGCACCCATCGACTTCCTGCATATCTTACCAGGTCGTCACTCCATCTAGTAGGGGGACGCCCTACACTTCGTCCGCAGGTACGAGGCCGCCACTCGAGAACCTTTTTCCTCATCGGTTGTCGGTTCATAGAGCTATATGGCCGGCCCATTGCCACTTCAGCTTACTAATCCGTTGGACTATGTTGGTCACTCTGGTTCTACTGCGGATATCTTCATTTCTAAGTTTATCACGCAGAGAAACTCCAAGGATAGCCCTCTCCATAGCTCGCTGAGCGACCTTGAGCTTCCTCATCCGGCCAGCAGTGAAGGACCACGTCTCAGTTCCATAGGTCATCTGGCAGCACGCACTGATTTTGAGGTATACCTGACGAGAAGAAGCGCCGTAATTTCCTGAACGCTGCCCAACCGAGCTGAATCCATCGATTGACCTCTCGGTCGAAGTTGGACTTACCTAGTCGGCCTATTTGTTCCAGGTAAATATACTCGTCAACAACTTCGAGCTAAGTGCTCTCAAAAACTACCGGCATAGGTGTGACATGAACATTAAACATGATCTATGTTTTGTCCATGTTCATCTTAAGACCTATCCGTTGGGAAACACTAATGAGGTCATTGGGCATAGTGCTTAGGTGCTCCAGCGATTCTGCCATAAGGATTATATCATCGGCAAATCGAAGGTGAGTGATGTACTCGCCATTGATGTTAATGCCGTATCTTTTCCAGTCAGAAGCTTGAAAACGTCTTCCAATGCTGCGGTGAAGAGTTTCGGGGATATAACGTCACCCTGTCTTACACTTTCCTGCAATTGGATAGGTTTCGTAATCTGATTCTGTACTCGGATAGCCCTCGTAGCCCTACTGTACCAGCACTTCAGCACTTCGATATACCGACAGTCAACTTGGCACCGCTGAAGGGACTGCAGCACCGCCCAAATTTCGACGGAGTCAAAGGTTTTCTCATAGTCCAAAAACGCCAGACATAGTGGCAAATTGTACTCCTCGGACTTCTATACAATTTGCCGAAGAGTATGTATGTGGTCTATGATGCTAAAGCCTTTTCGGAAACCGACTTGTTCGGGAGGCTGGAAGTCGTCAAGTCTGCGCGCGAGACGATTCGTAATGACTTTCGAAAACAGCACGTAGACGCGGCTCGGAAGGGAAATCGGTCTGTAGTTCTTCAAGAGCGTGTTGTCACCTTTCTTGAAGAACAAGACAACCGCACTTCTGCTCCACGCCTCCGGTGTAATGCCACCATGGAGGACGGAATTAAAGCGCTTCTGAAGGACTTCAAATACCGGTTTTCCACCCGCTTTCAGAAGCTCCGCTGTAATTCCATCCTCGCCTGGGGCCTTGCAATTTTTAAGGTGCTGGAGAGCCATTCTAATCTCGCTCAGACTGACGTCCGGGATATCATTGGAAGAGTGCCGGATAAGACTCGCTCTTGGATCGTTACTCACGATGTGTGTACAGCTGCCGATAGAACCTCTCAATCTCCCTCAAAATCTCAGGTGTCCCGGAAACGACGCTGCCACACTCGGCCTTCAGCTTCGACAGTTGACTCTTTCTGGCAGACAGATCTCTAGCAAAGACTTTGGAGCCCTGGTTCCGCTCGATCGCTTCTTCAATACGAGCAGTATTAAAGTTGCGTAAGTCGCGCTGCATGCATTGAGAGATTTGTCTGTTCAGTTGCCTGTATGCTGTCAAATCTACTGAAGACTGCATCTTCATATCCCGTCTAACAGCCATGAGATTAAAAGTGTGGTCGGAGAGTTTTTGTGTTCTTCTGCGGCGAGTCTTGCAGAACTTAGCTCCGACCGCATGGACAGTTTCCACGAGCTTGTCATTCATATCGTCCACTGCATTGTAATCTTTTAGGCACTGAAAACGGTTTCGTAGCTCGAGCTGAAAGGTTTCGGGACTTTGGATTAGAGCACGAGGGGGACAGAGCGTTGACTTCATTAGACGTGACCTCTCCAACTTAACGTTCAGTGTGCCTCTCACCATTCGGTGATCGCTGCCGGTTTTCACCCTCGCGATCACTGAGACATCACTGAACAGTTGTTTTCTGGTCGTCATAATGAAGTCAATCTCATTTTTTGTCGAACCGTCGGGGCTCGAACAGGTCCACTTCCTGTGGGGCCGCTTCTGGAAGAAAGAGTTCATCGTAAAGAGTCCCTCTTTCTCCATGAAGTCGGCCAGCTGCTGGCCCCTTGGGTTCCGATGGCCTATTCCGAATTTCCCTACTTTCAGCTCACCGTTCTCTCTTGTGCCTAGTTTTGCGTTGAAGTCTCCCATTAACACCGTTTTGGAGGAATGCATGGCTCTAGAGATATTCTCATACATTTCCTCCACCTCCTCATCGGGGTGTGCCGAGGTTTGTGCATAAACCTGTATGACCTTCAGCGAATACCGTTTGGTGGTTCTGAGTATAAGGTACGGAACCCTCGTCGACACACTTCCAATCTTTACAACGTTGTTAACGAGAGACTTGTGGACGATAAATCCGACACCTCCTTGGGACAGATGGTCGCCCTCCCGGTGATAGAACAAGTTGCCGGATTCGAGGATTACCGTGTCCTCCCCCTCTCTTCGGACCTCGGATAATCCTATGATATTCCAGCGCAACTTGTCTATCTCTTCTTCCAGCTCCAGGATCTTCTCGTCAGTCCTGAGGGTGCGTTATAAGTTGGCAGGTCAAGTCATCGTAGGTGGCAACCGAAACTCCACCGGAGATTCTTAACACCCCCTGCCCCGCCGTTACCATGGTCGCCACCGTAGCCAGGAATAGCGGGGCCGCCGGGGACTGGGGGCCGTCTCTTGGGGGGTATAGTGCTATAGTTGCCACGATTGGCGAGTGGGTTGGCTACCGTTACCTAAGTGGTAATAAAGTCCTAAATGGCAAATCGCACTGTCGC